CGATGGGGTGAGCTCCTGTTGCTCGGTCCCTGCTCCTGCCAACCTAGCAGTTCGAAAGCACGTCAAAGTGCAAGTAGATAAATAGGTACTGCTCCAGTGGGAAGGTAAACGGCGTTTCCATGCACTGCTCTGGTTCGCCAGAAGCGGCTTAGTCATGCTGGCCACATGACCCAGAAAAACTGTCTGAGGACAAATGTCGGCTCCCTTGGCCAATAAAGAAGGATAAGTGCCGCAACCCCAGAGTCGGCCATGACTGGACCTAATGGTCAGGGGTCCCTTTAGGATGTTAGTCAGCCAAAGGCCTGGTTGAAGAGAAACATTTTTGCCTGGTGCCTAAGATGTATAATAGGGCTGCCATATGTCCAGACAATACCGGGATTTCAAAGGTGGAATATAGTCATCCATGGGGAATTTCCAAAAAGTGGCACTTTGTCCTGGATCTTAAGCAAGTCAATCGAAAAATCACAGGGGTTTTTTTTTGGTGTTTTTGTAAAGAAAAGCTCAACAATTTTGGGGGTTTCCTAAAAAACACTTTCGTGGTGTCCTGGTTTTTACTTTTTGAAATATGACAACCCTATGTATAATGAAGGTGCCAGGTGAACGTCCCTGGGGAGAGCATTTTGCGTATTGGGAGCCATTGCAGAAAAGGCCCATTATTGTGTTGCCTCTCACAGAAGAGGCCCACAGAGAAGGGTCTCTTACCAGCAGAATGTCAATAGGTGAAGCTTTCCTTATACAGTGGTGCCTCGCAAGACGAAATTAATCTGTTCCGCGAGTCTCTTCGTCTTGCGGTTTTTTCGTCTTGCGAAGCACGGCTATTAGCGGCTTAGCGGCTATTAGCAGCTTAGCGGCTATTAGCGGCTTAGCGGCTTAGCGTCTATTCACGGCTTAGCTGCTTAGCGGCTATTAACGGCTTAGCGGCTTTAAGAAAAAGGAAACAAACTCGCAAGAACTCGCAAGACGTTTTGTCTTGCGAAGCAAGCCCATAGGGAAATTCGTCTTGCGGAACGACTCAAAAAACAGAAAACTCTTTCGTCTAGCGACTTTTTCGTCTTGCGAGGCATTCGTCTTGCGGGGCACCACTGTAATCATCTTTGGCAAATGACTGCAGTGTACAGGCAAGCTGTAATGAAAGCTCCTGATGGGCCCAAATCTGTACCTTCTATTAGCTTTGCATTGCTGCTGTTGTATGCTGTGCTACACCTGGGCATTATTAAGGACCATTTGCTGGCAACAAGCCTTGTTTTCCACAGCATGCAACATTTTGATGTTTGGTTTGAGCCGTTGATTCTGCCTTCTTCGCTGATGGTTTTTATTTTGTTGTTTTTTTATGATATTGTAGCTTCAAATGCTATGTCCCCCTGAGTGGTGCTTTTATGCCGGAAGGCTGGGGTATGAATGTTTAAAATAAATAAATAAAGCAATGAACTTGTAGTGGTTCACCCGTACAATCTCCTCCTAGCAGTGATGAAAGAAGACACTGTTTGGAGTCCTGCTTTGTATTTGCTGAACGCAGCACTATTTCCATTCTGCTGCAGTTTGCTTTTCACCGACCAAAAACGATGCTATCCGCCTCGCTGTCTGCGGCTGTGAAATTATGCAATTTACAATGTAGTTAGTTACGTTAATTATGTCGTCATTATGTTATGCCACCCCATTCATTTCAGGGCAAAGAGATATGCAATGAAAATGGAGGAATGGAAAGTAACTAATCATGTATCATTTGCAGACCGAAAGCAACATCGACAGTGAATTCTGATAATATCTGCTGCATTGATTCCCATTCCTGACATGGGACAAATAAGCGAAGACCAGTAACTTCTGCTTCTGTTTTCGCTGGAATTCTCTGACATTCCTGCCTCCTAGGCCATTCATTCCCATTACCAGTGCAAGTGCTACAGGTTGTAGCTTTGCACTTGGTACATCAGCCATGCTCCGCCCTTCCTACTTATTTTCCAGCAGAGCAGCTGACAGGAGGAAGATGTTAGAAAACTATTCATGTTTGTCAGTCTGTATCTTCTTTGTTGCTTTTGTGTCTCCCCAGTTGCGCCTTTTCTTTCTTTCTGAACGTCCACATGGCAGCCTTCCAATTGTATTTATCCACTCCAGCTAATTGAGTCACATAAATGCAAGTAATTTGAAGCATTATTGTGAGAGATTTCTGTTTGCTTCTTTAATTAAGCAGTTGTTCACAGGTGCATACAGTTACAACAAAATTAATTGATAGCTTTTATTATTATTATTACGGTTGGAGTCTGCCGCTGTTTGCTGCATGCAAACAAGTTCCATTTGGTACCAGAGCCTTTTATTTTGCACCCAAGAAGCATTTCTGATTTTCCTGAGGAGTGGATTTGAGTTTAAGAGAACTTGACCTATCCACTGGAAAATCTATCGATGCAGAAAAGATAATTTAGCTAAGAAGCAAAGAGAAAAGACCCTTGTTTAAGGTATAGTTTATTACCAATGAGGAAAAAAACAGCAGTGTGTAGAATTTTCAGTAGTGTAGCTATGTTAATCAGTTGCAGCAAAACCCAAGAGCTTTGTGGCACACTAAAGACCAACATATTTATGATGGAGACAGTTCTTATGAGCCAGAGTCCACTTCATAAGAGTCATGAAGTGCAATCTTCACTTGGTAGGTGTATATACATGGATGTAAAAGAAAAATAATGTAGAGTTGGAGTTAAATGGCAGTTTAATTAGCGCTTAAATGTATGCATTGTAAACACAGTGACGCTTAACAACAGGTGATAATACCATTGTCTTAGCAATTCTACTAGTTAACCTCGGTAGAGGGATAGGAAACCATTGTCTCAGTCCAGACTCAAATGAATAGAACAAAATGTATTGATAAATCATCTTCAAATTGTAGCCTCCCTCCAAAGTTTCTTTGATCCACGATAGCCACTTTAAGGTCAGGAAGAGACCATCTGAGTACGCTGAATTCTTTTTCAGTCACAATTCTAATGTCAAATTTGTGTCTGTATATTCTTTTATGTAGGCCTTTGTGTCCTATGAAGGATGTAGATGGGGATTGGGAGCAGATAATAGCATATATCACATTGGAAGATGGGCAGGTGACTTGATCCTTCATGCTGTTGTTGTCGAGACTATCGGGCCTTACATGGGGTCTGGATGGCAACTGAGTCTGTTGTAAGGCCCTGTATTTACATCTCTGTTACATGGCTGATGTTGCTGGTGAGCAATTGCTTTAGGCTGGGGCACTATTTTTAAGGAAGGACTTGCCTAACCCCTGAGGCATGTGAAAGGGAAGTACAGTATATGATTGTTCAGGATAGACTGTAGATATTTTGCTGGAGTCGATGCATCTGGAAGCTGGAAGTGGCAATAAGTAGCATTCTGTAACTTTGTCTCCAAAGTGTGTCCTGGAGTAAATTTTTTCAGGATACCAGTCTGGGCTTGTTGCCTGTGTTACTACAGCAAGTAGATTGAACTGGAGTGGTGGACCGCCTTAGAGGCAGCCTCCCAGCAGATTCGTGGCTGGTTGGACTCCACTGGTGCACCATGCTGGCCGATGCTGAGATTGAAGGTCAAAAATTATTGAAACTGTAAACGAATAATTTCCTTTGAGAGCATGTTATTTACTGTGGTTCAGAAAATGCATTGTTACCATGAGCACAGTGACAGCCACAATCAAAAGTGGAGTTAAATCCTTAAATCCACTGTTTTCAGTGGGATTAAGCACACTTCACTCTGTGCAGGATTTTGGCCTTAGGATTTATCCTAGATGTCCGGACAAACAAATAAAACACTTCTCATTCCCCTTCAAGGAATCCTAATCCATTTAATAACCACACACAGAGAGAGAGCTAATCCATGATGTAATTTTGTTCTACAGATCTTACTGGTCTTAAGGTAAATGATAATGTATTTAGTCCAATATAAAGCTGTTTGTTTATTTAAAATATGAATGTATTGTCTCATTAAAATTATACCAAGGCAGTGTGCAATAAAACAATTAGCTATAAAACAATTAAATATACAATATACAGCATATATATAAGAGTAAAAGGTAAAGGACCCATGGATGGTTAAGTCAGTCAAAGGCGACTAGGGGGTGCGGTGCTCATCTCGCTTTCAGTTCAAGAGAGCCAGCATTTGTCCACAGACAGCTTTCCGGGTCATGTGGCCAGCATGACTAAACTGCTTCTGGCGCAACGGGACACCATGACAGAAACCAGAGCACGCGGAAATGCCATTTATCTTCCTGCCACAACAGTACCTATTTATCTACTTGCACTGGTGTGCTTTTGAACTGCTAGGTTGACAGATGCTGGGACAGAGCAATGGGAGCTTACCACCCATCTGATCGGCAAGTCCTAGGCTCTGTGGTTTAACCCACAGCGCCACCCGCATCCCTAGCCACACTAGAGGATATGCTAAATTTCCACCTTTCTTCTTTAATCTGCCATGGTAAAGAATGACACTTGTTGTGAATGGATCTCTTTATTTAAAATGACCATAAAAATATACTTAAAACGTACACATCACACATGGATGGCCTTGCCATCGCTGGTGAGGCAAGTTATGGGTCTCTTTTATCCTCCTCTGCAGCAGGCCTCATCTGTGAGGACACAGGGGCACAATGCCAACATTCTCATTGTTTGTTTAGAAAAACCAGATCAACACGGGAAAGCTCAATTATATATCTAAACCTTGGTGTGAGTGCTTGGATGAAACTACAGTAATCTCTGCTATTTGCCATAAGCATGTGGTAAACAAAGAGCTACGTATATTCCCTTGCCAGTGGCTCTGGGAGTCATTTGTTTGCCACATATACTTCCTTTGTTCCATTCAATTGCCTTTGAGGATAGTTTTGCACTTCCCATGCCAGTAATTCAAATGTAAAACCTGCATTGACTAGAACATAAATCTGATTTGAAAATTACTCTCTTCCACTTTCAATCTTGTATTAACAGCACTCATTCCAGATGAAAGGGACATCTCACACATAACAAATGTTCTAAACTCAGCCCTCCAGCTATTTTGGGACTACAACTCCCATCATCCCTAGCTAACAGGACCAGTGGTCAGGGATGATGGGAACTGTAGTCCCAAAACAGCTGGAGGGCTGAGATTGGGGATGCCTGTTGTAAAGGGATCTTGCCTCTGCTTCCCTTGCGAATTTTCAAAGTATCTGATATGTGGACCATCACATGTGATGAAGGTTTAAGTGTGTGTTCCCTCTGCACCCAGTTGACAGGGCGTTACTGTGGTAAATAAATGTGTTCATCATGTGGTACATAGTGTACAGACATACACACACTTTCCTACCATTGTATTCTTCTTTGGGCACACAAAGTTGGGCCAACAACTGCTCATTTGGGACCCAGGTACAGATGTAGGACAGAGCTTTGCTTGGGTGGAAAGGCAAGAGCGAAATGCTCTGGGGGGAGCTTTTTCCTACTCTTCTTTGGCTCTGGGCTGGTGGTTGCCTGCTTTACCTGTTGGTGATCCATTTAGGTGACAATTCTATAGTGCCAAAGAGCAGGGTTTGGCCTTGTCTGTTGAATCATGGGAGACCTTCACTGGATTTGTGACTGGCTCCAGGGGTGGATGTTGTATGGCCTGAACTTTTGGAGAGATGGTGCTGGCAGGGGGAGACTTCTCCCAAGAAGATTGATATTAGGAGGGATGTCTTAGCATCAGGATTAAGCTCATAATAGGATGAAGCACAATATCACCGCCCTTAATTAGCCTGGTGGGGATCACCTTTCCCAGGAAGGGATGGGCATTTTTATTAAAGAACCTGCAAGAGAGCTCTTGGGTTTCATTGGCGAAGGTGAACAAGCACAAGCTGGTTGCCTCTTGTGGCATTTAGTGTGGGCAGGTAAGGAAAAGATAATACCTCAATTCACTGCCACCCTGAGGCATTATGGGGGTAAAGGTGTACTCTTGAAATGTCAACCATAGCTTGAGGCTTGGGGGTAACTGTGGGTGCCCTTATGCCTATGTATCATGGCAAATGCTAAATTGTGGGGCCAAGGTTGCGTGCCAGTTACCCTCACTTAGTGGGTGGCACTGTGGTCTAAATCACTGAGCCTGGGGCTTGCTGATCAGAAGGTTGGTGGTTCGATGGGATGAGCTCCCATTGCTCGGTCCCTGCTCCTGCCAACCTAGCAGTTCGATAGCACATAAGAGTGCAAGTAGATAAATAGGTACCACTTTGGCGGGAAGGTAAACAGCGTTTCTGTGCGCTGCTCTGGTTTCGCCAGAAGCTGCTAAGTCATGCTGGCCACATGACCCGGAAAAACTGTCTGTGGACGAACATCAGCTCCCTAGGCCAGTAAAGAGAGATGAGCGCTGCATCCCAGGGTCGTTCGCAAATGGACTCTTCCTTTTACCTTTTTAGCAAGGAGGGAGACATTTCTTCCAGTCCCTGGCAGGGGAGAAAATGAATTGCCAGCTTACATGTTTGGGTGCATATGAGAGGCACATTTCCCTCTTGTGCCATCATTGATTCCCCCTGCTTGCACACCATTATTTGACTAATCGTAGACCCTCTAATTCATTATATTTTAATAAATACAACCTTTTTTAAACAACTTAATAAGTTGTTCTGCATCGTCTTTCTGGGTGTAGGGGCAGAAAGGAAGAAATGAACAGGAAGGAAACGATTCTGATAGGATGAAAGAATAGGGCAGCTTGAGGAGGTTTTGGTATAAAATGAAGTTGACCCGCAGCTGCAAGCTGCCCACCTGTGTGTTGTTGTTGTTCTGCAGCAGCAGCAGGAATATGGTGACAGTATTCTCTGGACAGGCTGTTGGGCACCCACTGCTCTTCATATCAAGTTCCTGTGCCCTGTTGAACCCTGTCTCCCAATACGAATAGTCTTCATTGTAGGGACCCTGCGTGTATGACCACACTTGTGCTATTCTTGCTTCAAACATGGGTGCATGTGTGGCTGAATCATGCAAGCTTGAAGCTGATCAGTGCACCCAACATGGAATCATTTTGAGCAATTGAAGAGAAAACCACTCTGTAGGGATATTTCCTGATAATAATATGAGTGGTTTCAGATTTAGCCAATAAAAGTCATAAAAAATTAAATATTTAAAAATATTTACAATACACAAGGATTTACGCTCCTGCCCATCTCTGGGGTGACATTCAAGGAAAAGAGTGCAAGATGGGTATTAGTCTGCTCTGAAGAGAGTTTTACAATGTGGTTTAAAGAATATAAAATATTATGTTGTCCCTCTAGATAACACTAGATTAAGGTTAATATTGTTGAAAATACCTACATTTGCTTCCCTCATCCCCTCACTGTGATGTTTATCGCCTAATAAAAATGCTAAAGTTTCCAAGGAAAGATGCTTAATTTGCTGTTGCTGCTCAGTTGCATTCTGCATTCTATTTTGTAGTAAATGCCATAATATCCCAAGTGGACTGCCACACTGTCAGATACATTATTTATACATAACATTACGGGGTAATCAATGAAAAGAAAATGCAAGGAGCCTCTTTTTCCTGTTCTGCTTTAAAGCTACAGGAAAGATAATCCAAGGGAAAGTTTCAGCAATAGATCTAAGGATTACAGTGGTACCTCAAGTTAATTCGTTCTGGCGTTCCGTTCTTAACCTGAAACTGTTCTTAACCTGAGGTACCACTTTAGATAATGGGGCCTGCCCCTGCCGCCGCATGATTTCTGTTCTCATCCTGAGGTAAAGTTCTTAACTTGAGGTACTACTTCTGGGTTAGCGGAGTCTGTAACCTGAAGCATCTGTAACCTGAAGCGTCTGTAACCCGAGGTACCACTGTGCTTTGAATCTGTTTATTATGGTGGCCACTTCTGAATTGCCCCAAAATGCAACTAAAGGGGTCTCAATCCACAAACAAACTGCATGTGCAAACGTATTGGTGCAAGTTTAGAAAGAATAACGATAATTTAAATCGGAAATGCAAGCCATGGATTACTAACTTATTTTGGCATGTTACCTGAATTAACAAAATATAGTCACAGCCATCAGCACCTCCAGAGGTTGCTGCACCATGCAGATTAATGTTCCTGAGGAAAGAGAGGCAAGCAGCTCTAAGCCATAGTATGTTTGTAGTACCCTGGGAAGCTCAACCTGTGGTTTTGGTTCTAAATTATGCTTAGCTCAAACCATGGACTAGTGAGACGTGTTAGCTGAGCCAGGGTTCTAACATGATTACAGTGCTGTCTGTGTTTCTTACAGGAGCAACATGTATGTTGCTCCCATTGCTTGGACTTTAGGAAATAGTTTAAATACAATTAAATTTCATTTTTGTAATGAAATAATAAAGAGAAGGAGCATATCTATCAGACTAGGAAAGCTTCAGATAATTAGGCCGCAGGATGATGCATGGCATGGACCTACAATGAAGACCCCATTGTGTAATTTACTCAGCTTAGTCCAGCCCTGGGTTGCTCCGTTTATTTTCAGTAGCCAACAACAAAAAACTACCATTCTCAATGATGTTTTATGGATGAAATAAGCAGGTTGGAGACTCTCCAGGTAACAGAGACCATTTAACTATTCATTCTGAAACATCCTGAAGATACAAATTCAAGCAGAACAGAGGAAACAAATATTATATTAAAATAAGGGAAATGCAGAAGGATGGATAGGAGAATTACGATGTTTTTTCTGCTTCTGCTGAGCTCATTTTGTTTTATTTTCTTAATAGAAGCTTCAGATCAATACAAAAATATTCTGCTTTGTTCCAGTGATTGACTATGAATACATTATGTGCATGCAAAAAATAGTGATAATCTATGTTGATACAATAGTTCATTTTGCATTAGTGTCCTAGATAGAACAATGTTAAGAAGCAATTTAAATGAAATTCATTTAAATGTCAGCTCTCATGCTTGCGATTTTTCTATAATTGGTTATTTAATTAAAATAATTCTCATAGTCATTAATTTAGACTAAAACTTGCTGTGCACTGACATGTTTTAATTACATGGTATTAACAAAATTGATATGCTTTAAAAAAGCATGGTTAAATTTTAAACAAGAATAAATTAGGAATCTCATAGATCATCCTACTTAGAGTATTTATGAGAGAAAATATCAGTCTTTTAAAGTGTTTATTATAAACAAAGTCACAATATTATTGCTTATGCCTCATAGTTTGGTCCTGTAATTTTTTTTTTATGTGAGGATTTTATTTCATCATGGTCCCCTGTTCTCTGAATTCCTTTAACCAACACACTATAAACAAGGTAATGAACTTGAATTAAATATTAATTGGAAAAACAAATGAACCACAGAGACCACAACAGACAAACAGAGAGCCAATGCCTGAATGATGCTATAACTTTGATTTCATTAGTACAACATTTTAATGATGTTTTCAGGATTTGAATCCTTATCATTTCTTGAAAACAGAAAGGTACATGTGGACACTATGAACACACATTTTATTTTGGAATGATCAGCTAGCAAAAAATGACCACGACTAATTTGATGGCCACAGTAATGTTGGGCGACTGCCTCCCATGTTATCAGCCAACCTCTTACACGAACTGGAATAACACGCTGCAAGTTTTCCATTTAAAAGGAAGGAGTGATTGATCTCAGGTGAGCTTTGAAGGTCTCTGTAGCCATCTGGCCATCAGAATGGACTATAAAACTCTACTAATTCTTTCTTTATAAGGTGAGGAGTAAATGAACTGATTTAATGCAACATATCTTAGGACAGAGGCCAGGGCTTTGTTTTCAGCCGGAACTCACTGGAACTCAGGTAGATGCCATTGCCATTGTAAGAGGACAAGAGGGGCATTCGTGGTGAGTTTTGGCACCTCTTTTTCTAGAAAAATAGCACCGGTAGAACCCATGTGGATTTTTTGTTTTCATACACTGCTCACTGATTTTTTTGGAAAAAAGAGAAAAGAAACACTTTGGAGGGGAAATGGGGGCAGGAATGGTTTAAAAAGGTCTTGAGGATGCGCTTCTGCAAACAGAGGAACTACTCTGGGTTTTTCTTCCAATGTTCTTCTGCTAAATTGGAAACAGCACATCTGTGAATGGAAAGCTTTTGTACTAGAACATGCTTTTGTATAGCATGTCGCTAGACTTTTGTAGATAGATGAAG